TATTATATCAAAGAATTCATCTTAAGTTCCTTTATAATGATTTTGAAGTAACATTTAATTTATAATAAAAACTTGTAATTCTTTCGCATACTTTAATTATGTTTGAGCAGTGACAAAATGCGAAGATATCTCAAACGTCGGGTCACGAATATTTTGCCTTCTAACTCATTAAAAGTGTTTCATTTTAAATATTAGTTATCATAGACCTTTTTGGTTTAAATGAAATACTTTAACGGTTTACAGCGATATATATTATTTCCACTTATTTGAAAATTATTTTAACTACGGCCTGCGTTTCGGATGCTTTGCAGCAGCCGTAGTCACGGGGAGTCTCCGCGTGACCACGACTTCTCCAATAAAGTTTAAGTAATATATATCGCGTTTTAAGCCGTTTTATTTAAATGTGTACTACTCGCGTAAAGTACAGACAGTATTTACCTTTTTTGGTGCCAAAAATAATCGTTTTCTCTTACGAAAGACGGAACCTAGATTTTGATGGTGGCTGACACCGCAAGTCACACTAAATAACATTTATTAATAACTGTACATTTATACTGAGTAAGACCTTATAGTCTTGTTGACGTAATATCGTAATATGATAGACACGGGTGTATATTACTGCACGTTCAGCTGACTCAAGCGAAAATGACAAGAATATATTGCAATACATCGAATTAAATTTACCTAGCTAATGTCGATTATATTTTCGAAAAGAAATGCTTATTTTTGCTGTATTTAATAAATTACTTACATAACCTTATACGTACAGTAGACAACACTGTAGCTTATCGGCAAAACATTGAATAGACATCGTCTACCGCAAATACGATTCCGATTTTGTTCTTCTCTTCTTTTCTGTTTTTTTTTAAATCTTTAGCAAGCAAGTTCTTTAGTCAGTGGAGAACGATAATCCGGAAATCCACAGACTTTTTCATCTGTAGTCGGTGGTTCGTGACCCCGATCGAATTTCAATATTCCTACCACCTATTTAATATTTGAATTTCTAGACACAATCAACATTAAAAAATATATAAATTGATTACAAACGTTTTGGACTCGCTGGGGATCCGTATTATTTAGAGAAATATTTCAATTACTTGTAAAAATGAGATAAGTTATATTTCTCATTTAAAATCAAGACAGTGGTTCGTAATTATTTGAACTCCAATTTATGTTTTTTGTTGTTTTTCAAACAATGTTATCACACTTCCAGGAGTCAAACCTGCACTCGCGCATGATTGTAACTTTTACATGTAAACATTAACTTTATGTAGCTTATCTACTGTCATTGTAATCGTGACTTTCGGTTTCGCTGCGACAAATATTCTCATATAGGACGACAGCATACACACTAGCATTTGGTTAACTCATCATGTTCATATGACGTATAGTAAAATAGTGACATATATATTAATTTTTAGTGTTGCTATATGTTCCGTAGTTTCATTCATTCATGGTGCGTGATATAGTATAGTATTCAAAGTATTTAAAAAGTACTCTCTGAATCGGAGCGATATTATGGTTCCCCAGTTTTTAGCATTGTTGTCGAAGACAATGTAAGTTGGGGTGTAGAAGTCATAACAGAAGTAACACAATGGCTTGCATGTGTGACTTATACTCATAACCCTTTCTCCTGACCAGTGTGTTTCAAATCTCACCAACTTATGACTTCCAATAGAGAGTGAGTAAGGTTTCTCCTGAAATTCAGTAGACACTAGAGTTACATAGAGTTTATTTACTTAGTGTGAGTACAACCAAGTTTGAGGTTCATTTGATAGGTATATGTAGGTTTTGGATATTCGGAAGTCTACAATCTAAACCCTTTAAACGGTCGCTTCATGTAAGATCCATATTCTCCAAGCGAAGTCCAGTATTTTTCGGAAAATCTGTAAATTGCTGAGACTTTAGTTTAGTTTAGGCGATTTACAGTTGGTGGGAATCGAAAGCATGTCCCGTTGATTTTGAATGTATGGCTACCATTAATTAGACCGACAAGCTGGTCTGGTATGTTTTATAGTCGCGTTAGGACGTCAAGTCTCGAATCCAAGACCTCCCTCCAAGTGCTCTAACGTCAAGTGATATTATTTATCAGTTTTTTTTTTCATACAAATATAGATATTGATACAAAACGAATCATAACACATATGAGCATATAGTAGCGATAAACGGATTAAAATTATCTATTTAATTAACATCTATTACGATATTGTCACCGATTTTTTGTCTTATCACTAGCACATAAGAATAATCATTTTACGATTATTGCAGCGAGGAATTTTTAAACAAAATGTATTATAAAATTTTAGTTAAAGTAAGTATCTATATAAATACCATATAAATTGATGCCTCACTTGAAAATAAAGCGCATTCTACAACTTTCGCTAAAGGTTTATTTTAACCAGTAAATAATAATATTTATAACGGCCATTTTGGAATCCGTAAATGGCAAAGCAATAATATTTATCAAGATTGCAACAAACGGTTTACGAAGCGTTATAGCGTGACTGAGCCATGCTTCTCTGATAACGTTACTGAAAATGTATTTTTCAATGCGCCAAGGTTTTATAAGAAAAGTGCTGATTACTTGTGGTTAAGCCAACTTTCGATTTATACAAAAAATAAAAAAGGACTAGGACTTTAGTCTGTTTATGAATGAAAATCTATGTAAGCACATTTAAGTATACACACTCAAAGCACATTTAATAAAAAAAATAGACAAATTATGACATCACCGCAACCCCTCCACCATTTTCCAACAAAAAGCATTTCCATAATCTACTCAACTTCCTGAACACATCCATACCAATTGCAGGTAAATAGATGAAGGACCGATGAGATTTTTCAGTAAGATCGTGGCAGGTAAAAGAGAAAGTCGGATAAGTAACTAGTATCACTGAATTTATCAAGTAATCTTTGTAAGGCCGGATCATAGATAAATATTTTAATAGATTACAGCGCCTAAGTTATTCATTTATAATAACAATATTTAATAATGTTGCCATGTCACTATTTGTTCTATCTATGTCGTAGCTATAGATAAAAATCAAAGTAGGTTGAATATTTGATAAGGTTCTAGCAATTAACGAAATAAAATATTTGATAGTTAGTAATCTAGCTTAAGTAGGTATTACACAATGGGATTAGGACCTTAGGTATCCGTAATAAGGGTTCGGTAATAATTACTGTAAAATTGTACCCTTTCTATATGTACACAACGAGAAATCTCAATTTAAGTGCTAGTAGATGTAGGAAGGTATTTCCGAATATTTCAAATATGTGTTTGTGGGATAGAGTGCATACGTCTGATAAGAATAAATTCTTGACGTTGTGACGTTCATTCAAAGACGTTCTTTTGCCCCATTACCCAAAGAAGAATTGGAATTTCGCAATTAACACTACACACTACAATTCGATTTTTTATCAAACAATCGTGCCTGAAATAAAATAAAATTATCCACGTTTATATAATTACGTACCAAGTGTACTCGTGACTGTTGATAACCGTGCCTAAAGACAAAAATATCAGTTACTGGGTAAACTTCCCATACGCCGTTTATACAAAACTGCCCTATTTTACTAAAGTATTGATGAAATAAGTATTCTATAATATCGACGACAAGTTTTAACAAGTGGTTTTTAATGTCTCTAGTTTACGCATTAAAGAGTACACATTTAATTAAAACACTTTTAACTGTTTTAAACTCAAAATATACTAGTTAACTTAATTTTTGATATTCTCTCTTTCTACCAATTCACGGACTAGCACGTCGCCTGTCCGTACATAGAAAGAGTCGAAAACATGTTAAATCTAGATGGAGTCAGTATTTATTACGTCATAATTAATGTCAATTGTCAAATAAATATCGATAACGGTGTTTTAGTTGTAAAATAGGACTGGAATGAAAAACAATGATTTTATTGCCAAATTTTATAGTTATGTTTTGGATATGATATGGATATTGTATTTTTAAGACAATTATAAACCAAGCGAATTTGCCTTTTTAATTAACAATTATTTATTTAAAAAGTTTATGTTCGTTCTAGCTTTTTAATTAACAGTTTTTTAGCTCAAGACACAATATTAAAATTAAAACAAAAGACGTGTAGAATAAACATTGCTTTAGAAATGACTACTACATTGCGTCTATATTCGTTTATGTCACTATTATCGCCGGGTCCAAGCATGTTTGTAAATCACCAAATTGTTCTAGCGTAGTAAACAAGATTATACAATTCTAAAAAAAAAAGCCATGATAATAATAATAATGACGTTTCGGTTTCAGCCTATTAATTTCCCAATGTCCAAATCTCTATCCATATCATAGAGACTACGTTTATCTCAAAGTAATCGTTTAGTTAAAATGTAAGAAAAGTCACAGGTCACGTTAGCTAGGTTAGAGATAATGTGAAAGATATATATTATAATATGTTTGTGCCTTTGACATTGAATATATCGCAATGTTATGTAGACTGTTTTCTGTTTGGTTTACTTCCTGAATGGAAAATATATTAGATTAATACGTATTGACAGTTGACACATTTAATCTAAGTATCGCTAAACAAGTCATTTTCGGATATGGTCCGGTACGTTGCTTACTCCAGCATCTAGAAAAAGTTTGAACTTGAGTTTAGTTTGAGTTTTATTGTGAAATTTAACTTAATGGGTCCAAGCCTGTCCAACAAGAGTTCAAATCATGCTATTGAAAACTTTGTTATATTTTACATGAAGGCACTATATAATTTAAAAATCGAAAATAAATTGAAAATATTTTCGACTAGGGCAGGACTTGATGGCTCGAGTTCCGTCTGATGCTCTACATCCCCGTCGATTCTTAAATCATGCTGTTTTTACTACACAGCTGAAAACTAAGGATTTATAATTTACTCTGGAATATGTATATACATTATTTTACCTGAAACACTAAGAAGACTTGAGAGAATTGCTATCCCAAGAACTTGCTTCATTCTATAACATATTAACAAAGCGTTTTCTATTTCAGCTCAAAAGACGATGAAATTGATGGAAATTGCATAGTTCGCGCACGTGGTTTGCCCTGGCAGTCGTCGGACCAGGATATTGCTAAATTCTTTCGAGGCCTCAATGTCGCCAAGTAAGTATTGAGTATAATCATTTCGTCTACGTCCAACAGTTATTGTGCTCTTTGGGACGGAGACGAAACCGACACAAAAAAAGCAATGAAAATCGGTTCTAATGTTCTCAAGGCGGTTGTATAGGGTCTGTTAAAGGGACACACTCCTAGATTACATCCCATCTCAGTAATGAGTTTTTAAGAACCAGCGGGTGGTCATGTTTCTAAACGCACTTTTTGACTTTTATAAACACAATCGAATTAAATTAAAAAGCTAAAGCCAGCACATCTAAATTAATTAGGATTAGAGCATTTTACCTACCGTCATGTGTCACATTAATACATTACAGACAAACCGCATTTAGGGACCAGAAAAAGCGACTTTGTTTAATACTATCTAGTAATGTGTTAAGTTGCAAACGATTATCTAATCACCTACTCTCTTGTAGGGGTGGCGTAGCGCTGTGCCTCTCACCTCAAGGCAGACGCAACGGAGAGGCTCTGGTCCGTTTCATCTCACAGGAGCACAGGGATATGGCGCTCAAACGGCACAAGCATCATATAGGACCGCGGTATATCGAGGTATTTAAAGGGGGAATCCCCTCTAGTTGTAGTGTCTTAAGCCACATTTGTCATTCTTTCATTTAAATACTGTCTATAGTTTACGCGTGTAGTACATATATCGCCGTTTTAAAACGTTAAATGTGTTTTAAGCGTTTAAATTCTTTCATTTGTTCAGTGCATCCATGCCTCAAGTGTTAAAAATTAGTGGTTTCAGGCTAGAAGGACACAGAGGCCTATAAAAACCTTGTCCGTAAATAGAATCGATCAAGAGCCACTAATTATACACTTTATCATACCAGATCTAGAGTAGAAAATAGTGCAGAGGCGGTCATTGCGTTATTTTTCGTGAACCAGATTGTGAATCTTCTATGTATTAATTTCACCATCTATTTCTGCAGGTATACCGTGCGAGTGGAGAAGATTTCCTCTCAGTCGCCGGTGGCGCCACCTGCGAAGCGGCCGCGTTCCTCTCCCGCGGCGCGAAAGTAATTGTTCGCATGCGCGGCCTGCCATACGACGCGACGCCACAGCAAGTTGTGAGTACAAATTACATCATACATATATAATTACAGAGTTTACTAACAGGATAGATTTAACATCTTCAGATCAGTTGTTATGTTTTCCCCGGAGTCGAATTCGGGATCTATCACTCTTAAAGCACACAATATTTGACAAGAATAAGACATTTATTTAGAACTATTTGAGAACTTTAATATTTTTCACATGATTACACTATATAAATTAAAAATCGTTACTAATCGTAAATCGTAATACGCAAATATTAATGTTGAAAAAATTCAAAGATGAAATTTAGGGCACGGTAGCTCAATTGATTAGAGCAACAGTGCGGAATACAGTGGAGACCGGTTCGAGTCTTGCTCGAGCTCGTGAAATGTATCGTAAAATTTTTTTGTTATTATTTTGATATATTTCATCAAAATCAAAAATTTACTAATTGGTAACAATATACCTTGATATATTTCTTTATTACCAACATAGAATGCATTCTTTCCAGCTGGAATTCTTCTCAGCCGGCGACGATCCAGTACAAGTGCTCGATGGCGAAGACGGCGTATTGTTCGTTCGGCGAGCAGATCGGCGAGCAACCGGCGACGCGTTCGTCTTGTTCGCGAACGTGGAGGACGGGCCTAAAGCCCTCGCGAGACATCGAAAACTTATTGGGGCGAGATATATAGAGCTGTTTCTGTCTACTATCGCAGAAGTTCAGCAGGTTTGTCTATTTTTTTTAATGATGACGAGAATACACACGCACAGGGTAAGAAACCACAGCCACTAGTATCTAAACAAGATGCTCTATCCACATATAGATATTTGGTTTTGGATACGCTGAAATCCACAGACTATACCCAAAACGTAATTAAACTTCACGGCTTTTTCATCTGTGGGCGGCGGCTCGCGACCCGGCCGGAATTTCGATATTCCTACCACCCTAATGGTTTCAGAAAAATTATAAATAGAAAAATTACAAACGTGTTCACGACCACGACTCGTTGATTTAACCGTACATTGCTACTATGAACCGTCGATGTAAACAGAAACGTACATACATGCTCGGAATAATATATATATAATATAAACTATTTCTATCTATATTATCACCACCTTTGTAGCTAAATAGTGTATCGCCTACGCGGGAGGTCCTGTGTTCGAATCGCGGGAAAACAATTGATGTTTCGTTTAGACAGGACACAGTAGTCATTAACTACTTGCCTGTAAATAAAACCGATTCATTGAACTAAACACAAATGTTTTCCCCCTTGGGGCAAATGGCACTTTTACTTTGTCAAACTTATTTATTGTATGTAACCTATTTACTAATCAAGAACCATTAAGGTCTTATAATTACTTAAAATAAGACATTACTTTGATACATAATTAATACATCTACGATTCTATAAGCACCAGGTTCTTTTCCTGGACAAAGAGAAATAAGTATGACAGAACTATTTGACAATACGGTCACAGCTATTAACGTCATAAGGTTTCTTAAAAGGACAGCCACAGTGCTCAAATACTGGAATTTTAAAATAATCTGTAAACATTGTTAGATTAGTGAGTGACCACAATGCAAGGTTTTTGTGGTTATTTCCCACTAAATAGCCGTTTTATGTTCAGCCTGCCCTTGGGACTTGGTGAGTCGAGGATCGCAATTTCAGAAATTACGCCTTATTTTCTCATGGTTACGACAAATTATTATTAATTTAATTTGCTTATTTTCTGACGAGTTTTTGTATCCGCGTCATGTTGCAACGCAAAGATATGGATAAAAAATAATGCTATATGATTAAAATATTAAGAAATTTATTATACCTAAGCTAAGTGAATGACGCGGTATTGCCATAATTTAAAATTTTAATTGCCTTAAACTTTTATAAACATTAAAGTAAACCTCGGGGATACAATAACTAATGACTTTATTAACGTTATTGTTGCTTATATTTATTGACATACATTTTAGTGACAATACTAGTTTAAACAAATAGTACACATTTTAACGGTTTAAAACGAGAAGTAACGTAGTTAGCTTACTGTTATTTTATTCTAACAACGGCCCAATGTTTTGGATGCTTTGCGATGGTACGAAGGGATGTCGGGAGAGATTTGTAAATTTAATCATACGTACATTTACTATTAAACAGCGTAGTTAAATGATTCTAAATATTTCTAAAAATCTATTAGGTTCTAAATCGCTCACTCGAGACCCGTACCAGTCAAAGCAGTACGCCGTCAACAGCCAACCCTCCAGCGGAAGGTCTGCTTCCAGTGGCTTTGGTGCCTCAACACGTCATCACCTCTGGCACTGCCAAAGACTGCGTGCGCTTGAGAGGTCTGCCCTATGAGTCGCAAGTGAGTAAACAGCACCTTCAAAAATAGTGAATAATAAACAGGCGGGATTCGAACCCCACATCTATCGAATAACCTGTTTAGCGACATATATGCATGTCCATCGTTGTTATTTTCACCATCAAAAATAATTTAAAAATGAACTAGACGGTGTAAGATTCAAAATGTAACATTTTTGTGTGTCGTTCAGTCACTGTGCATATATATTATGCTACACGTATGTTTGTGATACGACTTAGAGCCTTCAAACGGTAAATTTCGTTTTGATTAAAACTACTAAACTTTCTAATAATTTACTAAGCGAAGCTTTTTTGTGTTATATATTTAACTGTCTTTCAAGAAAAATACACAACAACAACGAATAAAGCGTTATTACGACATCTTAGTAACAGTACTTAACCAAAATGTAAAAGAATAATTAGATTTAATCGCGTTTTATACTTGCTTCGTTCTATACTCAAATGTCCTTTACGATGCAGGTGGAACATATCCTCAACTTCCTCGACGAGTTTGCCAAAAATATTGTGGTGCAAGGGGTTCATATGGTGTTCAATGCCCAGGTGAGTTCTATTCTCATCCGTCCTTACTAATATTATAAATGCGAAAGTAACTGTCTGTCTGTCTGTTACTATTTCACGCCAAAACTACTGAACGGATTTGAATGAAATTTTGTACACAGATGGTCTAGACCCTGAGAAAAAACATAGGCTACTTTTTTAATAAGGGAGTTTTATTGAGTAAAAGGGGGGTGAAAGTGGGATGGAAATTCGTTGTTTTTGAAGCTAGAACAATAAAACTTTCTTCTTTGGCTTTTTGGGAATGGGAGTAGAGTAGAGTGTATTGCGGCAAAGTAGCACTTACAACATAGATTGGCTGCGATAAATGCGCAATTACATAAATTAATAAAGAACCTAAATAATTAAAAATTTTACCCCAAGTCACTATTCCGCGCAAACGAAGTCGCGGGCACAGCTAGTTGTATATAATTATGTTTTAGTATTGATACTAATACATATATCTATAATTGTAAAAAAATAAAAATCCACAGACTTAACCAAAACGATTATACTTGACACAGCTTATTCAATTATGATCATCATAGATATTTGAGTGGTGTCTCGAAATACTTTTCACCAATTAATAATACACTTTTTAGGCGAAATCTATCTATTGTTTAAGATTTTTTTTTCATTGATCCTGTGGGGAATCGAACCCTCGACCCGTTGACATACATTGCTATCATTAGACCAACGAATCCGTAAAAAAAGTCATGTAATTAATAATCTACAGTATTGACAGGTTTTAAGGTAATACAAACAGAATCTGTATCAGATATACGTAAGTAACTATTACGCACTTAAAAATGTTTGTTAATCTGAAAATTTACTTTATCAGGGCCACCCCAGCGGCGAAGCCTTCATACAAATGGACAGCGAAGCCAGCGCCTACCTCTGCGCGCAACAAAAGCACCATCGCTACATGACTTTCGGAAAGAAGCAGCGGTATATTGAGGTGAGGTTTTTGGTTGAGGGACTGTTCTAGCAGGTCGTTTAGATTGCAGAGAACAATTATATTTACTTGAAATAGGATATCGACTGTGAGCTCTCAACTTGTGTTGATTGTATTATTTGAGAGCTAATAAGATGTGGGCTAGTCACTTAATCTCTGAAGCTTTCGAGCTGTTAGTTTTATTGCTCAATATTAAACGGATCGAATGCCTGACTCTTAAAAATGCTTATACACAACTCTTCCACGTAGGTATTCCAGTGTTCCGGTGACGACATGAACCTAGTTCTGACCGGAGGCGTCACCCCTGCCACGTCGCCCAAAGTGCTTTCACCCGGTACGTTGATATCCCCCCCACCCGCGCCGGCTCCGCGGCTTCTAGCCCAACACATCGCGCACCAGAACCTCCTCGCGAGACAGCACGAGAACCTTCTTCTCGCCGCCTCCCTCAGACCGCCTATATACCCGTTTCTCCCCAATTACAACCCCGTCCGTTCCCCTAGTCCCTACCTCCCCGTACTCCAACAGAACGTACTGCCAACTAAGAGAACTTACGACCGTGCGTTTACTCCCACGGAGGCGTCGCCCGCGAAGAGGCAATACGTCCAACCTCCAATGACACCGATGTCATTGCCCGTTTTATCGTACGCCACGTCTCCGCCGATTTTCTCGTATGCCAACACCAGCCCCATGCTGTCCTCGTACAGTGCGATGCCGACGGCTCTGCCCACAGGCCTGCCAGCCGGATACGGCACGGCCCTATCTGCCGCGTTACCCCCCACCATGACTTCATCGTTCCCCGCGTCGTTGTCCATGTTCCCAACTTACCCTTTTTACCCCGGGGTTTAGTTGCGAGGGAAACACCTTAAAACCGTTTTTATAAAAATTAAACTTAGTTTGCCAACGCATATTAAGGGAACGTTGTACATATTCCTTAAAAATCAAAAATTGTAGGCGAAGATATTAAAAGTTAATATTTAGATTTAAGAAACTTTTTCTATATTTTATTATTAAATCGAATCAGATTTGTGAATGGACTAAAGTAAAGAGTTTTTCTTTTTATATTCATATGTCAAATGAAAAATCAATTTGCTTTATTTTGTTCTGTAGTTGCTTTATAAAAGGAAAGATGTTGAAATCGAATTTTAGTATTTCGGGACCACTTTCGCGGCTTTCCGCCGGAATGACAGGGTATGACAAATGACAAACAAAGGTGTCAAGTGCCTTCGTTGGAAATGAATTTAGCTAGAGATACTTATTATTAGGCAGTTATTGCAGCTCTTAGGTTAGTTTGAATCATTTTTGTTGAATTTATGCTGACTTTAATCGTTGTTGAGTTCTTGAATATTTTTAAGTGATACAGAGGTTGTTGACCATTGACAATTTAATGTTTCTTAGTTTGTGCCTTTTGTGTGTTCGTTGCGGCTTATACGTTGTGATTTATATTTATACATTCCATTTATAGATTTTGCCGTCGTTCAAGACTGACACTAAGTCTGATGTAGGTACTTATTTCGAAAAATATATTTAGGTACTTAAAAATATACACGTAGTCTTCAGTACAATGCACCTATTGTGATCAGTTTACACATTTTTATATTTTATTTTGAGCGTTTATGGCAACTTTGTTGATGCACCTTCTAGACGTAATGAATTGATAAGATTAGGATTAAGATTTACTATTTAGTTGGTAGTATATTTCCAAAACCTGGTAACACTCGAATCCCTAATCCGATCAAAACCCCTCCAAATACCTTCTAACAAATTAAGGAAGAGGTTATTACTGTTTGGAAATCGTCAGAATATGTGATACTAAATTTGGTTAATCAATGGAGTCTATATATTTTAGAACGGTCGTTGTGTATGGTGTACCATTGTCTCAAATTCACATAGGTATGGGGGCTTCAGTCACAAAAACATGGTGTTATGGCTAATCTATGTTCTGTCATCTCTTAATTATTATTGCAATTTTATTTTTGATTTAAAGTTTTACCTTATTAAAATATTACCAGCTTCATTGTTTATTACTTAAAACTGGCAACACTCAACACGAAACTTACTTCGAAAGTCATAGATAAAATTGCAACAACTTAGTATAGAGTAATCGAAATATGTGTTGTATCAATTGTTACAAAATTTGTAATCTGTATCCTACTCGGATGTGTGATGGAAAATGAGCATGGAGTATATATATGTTCGGTAAGTTGCACAATATGTTAAATGACATCTGTCAGTGATGCTGTATAACCTCCAAACTTACGCCACGACTGCGTATTACGTTGCAAAAAAAAAATATGCTTAAAATTGTGATACTTATGAAATGGTCAATTGTCAATGATTTTTAAAGATGGAGATGATTTAAATTGCTTAATACGTAGTCGTGACGTCAAAGCAGCATCACTGGTTGAGGGTAGCATGTAAAGCTTAATGATAGGGCTCTGTGCATGGCGTTCTTGTTAATATTTCATCGTTTTCCAGAGCACAGCGCGGGTCGAAAACTACGTATTCATATATGTATATGTCTAAATCCAAATAGATATAAAAACTTTTTTTATTTAATTTAAAGCTTCTTCAGATAAAAATTACGCATATGTCCAACAAATTGTACACTTGGCATAACGGTTTTACTAAGTTAACACGGGACTCTCGCTGTTTACCATCTCACTATATTGTAGATTTAACATTAAGTACTTTTATTCGGCCGGAAAATATCTAATATTATATTTCGTTCACTATTCTGTTAATGGCATTTGAGGTTTGATTTTTCCGCCATACAGCACCATACAACGTTAATTAGCTTTTAATGTATTTACGAGCTTCATCATCGACTTAGTATTTTGGTTATGGCAACATCGATGTTCTTTTGACAGCTGCTTCCAACAAATACCTAGAGACATAAAGTAAGATGTGTTATTCAAGCATAAATTGGTTTCGGCTTCTGTGAACTAGAAAGCTTATTCGCAATTCTTATGTCAAATTAAACCATTGTTCCATTTATGATTGAATACACAAGTTCGGGTTCTCCAGTCACACTAATCAATACCACAGACTGTAGAATGTAGGGTTTCGAAAACTAGGATAATTAACGATTATTCACATTTGTTGTCTATGGAGTATGTTGCTATTGCAATCTTACTATTTCATTTCGCACAAATTATAGACAGTATATTGATATAAGTTATACTTGGAGTAAAATGAAATTTAAAAGATGGCTTTCTGGGTGAATCTGGCTTACCTAATTTTCAAAACTTCTATCTTTCTTGCTTGATATTTCGTCAACTGTTAGGAGAAAATGGGACGTATTTTAGCTGCACTAAAGACGTGACTGGAAATTGCAATATTACCTAGTTGTCTATATCTCGATTCATAACCTCTAACGTTAAGGCAGACTATAGAAATAAGATCGATTTATCTGTTAGATTCAGTATTTGAATCGATTAATTTTAGTTTTCGATTAATAAATCAGTTTTTCGTTAGATTCTGAGATCGTGCGTTTCACTGGTAATTGGTTGGTGCTATTATGTTACTGTGGTTGTGAAGGATTTATGTTCTAACTAATGCTTGTCGTGTCCGCTGTAATTCTTACTAACTTTGTCGGGTTTGGTATTTGTATAATCACAGTTGGTCCGTTATCGATAGGTTGAGATATTATTTGCGTTAAAAGTCTCCTAAAAAACAATTGTGTAGGTATGACGTCATTAGTCTCTAGGACATTTCAAAATTTTACATTATTTTTGGCATTAACTTGACACTTCCTTCACAACTTGTACACATAATAGCACAGTCATTATTCCTGTCCTGCTCCTAACAAAATAGCTTTAGATTAGCACTATTAAGACTTCTTCAGTCGTGAAGCGGAACCGATTGTGTGTCTTAAACACAATGATGGGCTTATGTTACAATTACTATAGCTCAGCTTACTGTTCCCTTCTTATTAATAAAGACAGCAGAGTAACTATTCCATCGTTTGTCCTTTTCACTCGCAGTTGCGCATGAGTGTCGGAGGATGGGATATTTCTCTGTTAACGCCATTTTGCCTTAGTAAGCTCAAGTTATCTAATGAAAAGGTTCTGCATGGTTCGGTGATAGACTCCGTTCTAAAAGGGGAGCTTATAAGTGTGACGTAGAGGACGTTTGTGCTTTCTATAGAAAGTAAATCATGGTGTAAGGTTGAATGTAACGGAGGGGTAAGTATGTTCATTTTGTGGGATCACGTGACCGCCTACCTTCTTTAATATTTTTAGATGCGACCTCAACCTCTTAAGCTAAAAGCCACAGTACATAACAGCAACAGTCGAGACAATTATTGAATTCGTCAAATACCTTCAAGATTTGTTGAGGTTGGAGTCGCATCAATCGGTGCAGAGTATATAAAGTACCAGGCATAAGTTTGGTGGAGTCCGCAGAGTAGCTTGGTGATATGCAGCTGCGGCGACGTGCGTAAACGTTATATTGGTGAGGTGTAAGTTGAGCACTGCTTTGGTGGACTGTTAATGCGTTCTCAGTATTTGGTGAGTGAGTACCATCATTTTAATTACATACATTGTGTACGTGTGAATAAACGCATCTACGCTGATAAATTCTCATTACATCACTCGTAAATGCCAAAAATGTTTGACAATTTCTCGGCGAATGACGAAACAAAGATATAACATCAGTTCTTCTGCAGTGGGAATAAAGGCGTTTTGGCAAGCCGAGGTCGATATAAAATTATCTGGGGGAGATATATGGTATTTTATGTATTTTTAGATATCTTTGTGACTAACAAAAATGTCTTATGCATGATAACTGATTATTTGTATTTATGTACTACCACTTGGGTTTAAAAATTTATAAATACGTTACATAATGAAGCAACGTGAAAGGTTTTAGTTAATAGTGTCTGTTGAATCCACGCAGGTCCACTAACGTACTATTACCCAGCAATGGGCCCGACGTTACCTCCGCCGTTGGTGTATTGGGGTTACCCTACTCCGCCCGTTTCGCCTGCCCACTATTACCATCCGCCACATCACCCACAGACTATGGTAAGGGTAATAAGTGAGTTACAATCTTTTACTAATATTCGACTATAAATGTTGTATTCTTTGAAGTAAGCTAGTAATATCTAATTTAAGCTGTAACCATTTAAATATATATTTTTACTTGTTGTTATAGCACCAATAGAGATACAACAGATACCCCTCACGGTCTTGAGAGATTTCTTAAACTAGTTTTCTTATTCTAGATGCCAGAAGTAGTGCCAGTAGGGGGCGGATCCCCGCTGCCAATCCCCCCTCCCGCTGCTTGCCCCGAATGGCCTATTTTCATGGTCAACTAATCGTCATCAATAATTATACAAAATAACAGTTTCGAGTGTCCCTTGCAGGCGAGAACCATCTTGACACTTGATAAAATGGCGCCAAACAAAGCACTACTTACAGTAAGGTACAAATAAAATCTGCTTGCCAAATGAATGTAATATTTTAAGACGTTGATTATTATAGTTTTATTTTTGTCACTCAAACAAGTGATATTACAGTGTCTTTAATATATTATCTACGGTAGACTTGAATACCTTAATCATCTAATCAGTACGTAGACGTCTCAAGGACAATCGCGTTGACAGCCGACTCGCACTTGGCATATTTTATGAAAATATTGAAAAATACAAAGACGATCTGGGTCCCAGAAAAGGGATTCATGAATTATATTAAGGTATTTAACTTTTCCACTAACTAAAACTAAAAAATAGCATATTTTAGGATGTTTGAAAAAACCTTATTGTTTAATGTATAATAGAAATAAATTATAAAATTGTTACACTAATATTTAGAAAGATAGTATAATATAAAAACGTTATAAGCATA